CAATATACATAACCGATATACTGTTCTTTTTTATTATTTTGGGGGTATATTTTGTTTAATTTGTCTCTTTTTTTTGGAAAATTGTTGATACTTCACTCTCAGAACTGTGTCCTCCAGTTAATGTCATAAACCATACAAGTTTGTACAGTATTCTACCTCAATTTCCAGGACAAAGTTTTTGAAAACCCTGGGTATTAGAAAAATTAAGAAACTTAAAATAGGAAGAATAATCTGCGGCAGACCAACATCACAAGGGAACTAAAATGATCTCAAAAATATACTCTTTGCTGCTCAAATAATACAATGAATATGGGACATGAAATACAGGAAATTTTAATGACACAATGTTTTAAGTGACATAATATTTCATGTATATCTAGCATTTCTTACTTACTGGATTTTTAAATTTTTTCTTTCCCTTATATTTTCAACAAGATACTAACAAATTTATTTTTCTGGATGTTTTAAGTGACATAATATTTCATGTATATCTAGCATTTCTTACTTACTAGATTTTTAAATTTTTTCTTTCCCTTATATTTTCAACAAGATACTAACAAATTTATTTTTCTGTATTTCAGATAATATATGCACTGAGACAATATTCTCAGTATTTGATATGCATTCAAGCATTTGGTGCTTTTCATGTCCCATGATACATTCAGTAAATTTATAAATCCTAGCAATTCCCATACTTGATCATTGTAATTTAAGGAGCAATTTTTGTAGAAGTGGCTAGGGTTCACAATGACAGGTGAAGAATTGTCAGGGCATTTGGTGCTTTTCATGTCCCATGATACATTCAGTAAATTTACAAATCCTAGCAATTCCCATACTTGATCATTGTGATTTAAGGAGCAATTTTTGTAGAAGTGGCTAGGGTTCACAATGACAGGTGAAGAATTGTCAGCACTAATGAAACTATGGCCTTCATTTGTGATATAACATATGGACTTGATAGGTCATGCAAATTAGCATTCATATTGTATTTTAATAAGATGATGCTTTTACACAAATAAATGGTTTTGCTCATCACAACGTTAGCAACCAGAAATTAAATTATAAAAGCAGAATTTTTAATGGAGTGTAACGTATGGACTTGATAGGTCATGCAAATTAGCATTCATATTGTATTTTAATAAGATGATGCTTTTACACAAATAAATGGCTTTGCTCATCACAACGTTAGCAACCAGAAATTAAATTATAAAAGCAGAATTTTTAATGGAGTAAAAAGAAAAAAAGAGAATTAAAAATGAAGGAGAAAATTATATTTGCATGAAAGAATTAAGGAAAGTAAATAGAGACAATATAAATGGGCTGGTTTTTCCTGAGATCGGCGTAGACATGTAACTGCTTACCCAATTTCTTAGGTATAACAGTCCAGACATACGTTTTCTTCTCTCCAGCTTGGATAATCTCACTGCCATTGTTTTTCAGGGTGTTGATATTTGCTTCATAATCCTGAGATGCTTCCAACTGAACAGAAATCTTAAAAAAAAAAATCATGGCAACAAGGGCAGCACTTTAATTACCTTGCTGTTGCTATTCCACCTCTCATAGTGAGAAAATTCTGTAGTCTCTATTTTGTTTTAAGTTAGGAAAATTAAAAGATACCAAATAACTCCTCTTACAGGAAGATAAATAAGGGAGAACACATATTATTATGAAATGCCATTCTCAAAGGAATATTTAAATCATTTCTGTGAATTAAAACAGTTGTTTTTGTTTGAGAAATATGGAAACAAGTCTTAGCCCTTTACGGTGCCGTTTCATATTTGAGAATAAAGAGAATATGACAGTATTCAAGGAACATATTAAAGAATCTCTTGGATTTGTTGGATTTTTGTCTCCAGATCAAAGGGCACTCCTTACCTCTACACACGTAGTCAGGTAGCTGAAGACACTGACAATCAAATCAGATTGTTCATTTCGAACAACTGAATAGGGTAAGGCAGTTTCAACGAAGAAGGGCTGGGAGACTTCCAGAGAGATTGCTGGTGAAATTCCAAATCCTGCATCACCATTCACACAGAAGACATTGGCCTCCCACTGGGTTATAGTATCAGGGACAAGGAATGAACGATTTGCTGAACCCGAGGAACTACAAGGAGAAGTTATTAGCAAAACTCACTCTTTGTTTAAACCAAAAACCTAAATTTAGGCCAAGGCAAGCCAAAAAAAAAAGTATTAACTAAAGGTTAAAAATGAGTTATCGTGTTTGGACAGAACATTAGGTAAAAATCTTGAGTTGTATTTCTATAAAACTTAACTTAGAAAGGTTACATTTCTTTAGACACCACATTATTTTTTTTGTTTTGTTTTAAGTTGAGGCAGTTTAGAGCTATCTGCATGAAATTTACAGAAGAGAAACACTTGGTGAAGGAAAACCGATGCCAGAGAAAAAATAAAATAAAATGTGATCAGCACATGCAAATGGATGACACTACATATTTTACAAATATGGTATTATTTTATATACCCAGGAATAAAAGTTAGGAAATAAAAAGAAAATACAAATACAGACACATCGGAGAGAAAACTGCTAAAAACTCACTCGACACTGACGAGGTCCCATATCCATGTCTCAGGAAAGTTTGTTCTTACTGTTTCTATTACAGCCTGTTCTACATGGTTAACATTCTTCTCTATGGCCATTCCAGCTAAAAGAACAGAGAAATGCTTTATTTAGAGAGAACAGAATTACTCATACGTGTTTCAGCGATATGCGCCTTTAAGTTAGGTTTTTAACTACCCATGCCTTAGCGTGAAGCAATATAGGGATTTGCTCCTGGGGCTCACTGCCAGTAAATGCAAATCTCAACCTAAACATCAGCATTTTGATAGTCAAATATCTCCCATTATTAAAAGCAACAACAAACAAACAAACAAATAACAAACAGCTTACACTGTTCCTCTATAGACAAATTTAAAGAAAGTAATGTCTATTCCTTGAATTAAATTTCTCATCCGACGTTCTGGTGCCTGCCAATTCTACTAGCAAGCATTGCTTTTGCTAAAGTTTCTAATGATGTTAACATTGCTAATTCTCAAGGACAGTTTCTTTTCCTTGCTTGGCCTCTAGGCTGCATTTGACACTCTTAATCATTGTGCAGTTTTCAAAATCATCACTATTGCTAACTTACATAATACCACACCCTTCTAGTTTTTGTCTCATCTCTTTTGCCGCTCTAAAGTCCGCTGTGTAAACTCTTTGTCCTCGACTTGTTCCTGAGACCTCTTTTATGTCCTCTTCTTCTTACTATGCACAGTCTCCCCATTGATATCCTCACACATGGCCTCAATTTCAACACTTATGCTGATGTCTCCTCCATCTCTGTCTTCTACCTGGATCTGTCTTCTAAGACCCAGACTTGTATAACCAATATCCTTGTGTACATTTCTTGTGCAGGCTTTACAGGCATTTTGAATGTAACTGTTCCAAAAGTAAACTCATTATACCCTCTTCCACTTCTCTCCCATATTTCCCATCTCCCTGAAAGGTACCAAAATCCACCCACTTACCAAAGTCAGAACTGAAAAAGTGTTTTTGACCCCTCTCTATCCTTCATTTCCCATAACTCACAACCTACAAATGTCGTTTATTATAACTTGAGGCACCCACACCTTGGCCATGACTTCAGGCACTGGCCCACACCCACCCCAAGCCCTGGACAACGCACACCTACCAACTGAGCAGGAGCCATGGTAGCCCACTGCTTACTCAATTGCACTGATTCAAGAAGAGTCACCAGCAGAACCTACAAATAGAGGAGGAAGTCTTTCCTCTCATAGCCCATTCCAGAGTAATAAAAGAAACAAGTGTCCTACCAGATGACCAAACATCTATGAAAAAAATACCAGAACTACAAATAAACAAGAAGATATGACACCACCAAAGGAATATGGTAATTCTCAAGTACCAGACCCCATAGAACAGGAAACCCTTGAGATGACTGAAAGATCGGGGCAGAACTAAATGAAATAGGAACCCCCCAAACAATAGAAAAGATCAATGAAACATAAAGTTGTTTTTTTGAGAAGATAAATAAAATAGACTACCCATTAGTCAGGCTAACAAAAAAAAGGAAGAGAGAAGACTCAAATAACAAAAATCAAAAATGAAAAGGTAGACATTACAACTGACACCACAGAAATATGAAGAATCATAAGAGATTATTATAAACAACTACACACCCAGAGAAAATGGATAAATTTCTGAACACACACAAACTTCCAAGATTGAACCAAGAAAAAATAGAAAACCTGAACAGACCAATAATGAGTGGAGATTGAAGCAGTAATGAGCAACCTTCCAACAAAGAAAAGCCCCAGGACTGGATGGCTTTACAGCTGAATTTTATCAAACCTTTAAAGTAGAACTAACACCACTTCTCTTGAAACTAATCCAAAAAATCGAAAAAGAAGCCATTCCCTCAAACTCATTCTATGAGGCCAGCATCACCCTGATACCAAAAAAAAGATAAAAATACAACAAAAAAAGAAAATTGCAGGCCAATATCATTGATGAACAGAGATGCAAAAATCTTCAACAAAATATTAGCAATCAGAATACATCAAAACATCAAAAAATTATACACCATGATCAAGAGGGATTCATCCCAAGGATGCGAGGATGGTTTAACATATGCAAGTCAATTAATTGATACACCACATCAACAAAATCAAGGACAAAAACTATATGATTATCTTAACTGATGCAGAAAAAGCATTTGACAAAATTAAACATCCATTCATGATAAAGACTCTCAGCAAATTAGGTATATAAGGAAATTATCTCAACACAATAAAAGCCATTTATGACAGGACAATTGCCAATATCATCCTAAATGGGGAAAAGTTGAAAGCTTTTCCCTTAAGAACAGGAACAAGACAAGGATACCCACTCTCACCACTCCTACTTAACATAGTATTAGAAGTACTAGTCAGAGCAATCAGGCAAGAGAAAGAAATGAAGGATGTCCAAACTGGAGAGGATGAAGTCAAACTCTCCCAAGTTTGCACATGACATGATCTTACATACAGAAAAACTTATAGTCTCTACTAAGAAACCCTTAGAGCTAATCAACAATTTCAGTAATGTAGCATGATACAAAATTGACACCCCCAAATCAGTAGCATCTTTATGTTCCAGTAACAAGCTAGCACGGTTAGACTGGCCAGTATTAAAAAGACCAAGAACAACAAATGCTGGCAAGGATGTGGGGAAAGGGGAACTCTTCTACACCATTAGTGGGACTGTAAATTAGCACAGCCATTATGGAAAACAGTATGTAGGTTCCTCAAACAACTACAGACAGAGCTACCATATGATCCAGCAATCCCACTACTGGGCATATATCCAAAGGAATAGAAATCATGTCAAAGGGATACCTGCACTCGCATGTTCACCACAGCTCTATCTACAATAGCCAAGATATGGAACCAATCTAAGTGTCCATCTGTGAATGACTGGATAAGGAAATTGTGGTATATATACACAATGGAATACTACTCAGCCATAAAAAAGAATGAAATTCTCCCATTTGCAGCAACATGGATAAGTCTGGAGAAAATTATGTAAAGTGAAATAAGCCAGACAAGGAAGAGAAATACTCCATGTTCTCACTCACAACTTTGCTAAGAAGGAGAGAAGGAAGGAGGGAGGGAGGGAGGGAGGAAAGAAGGAAGGAAGGAAGGAAGGAAGGAAGGAAGGAAGGAAGGAACAAAACAATGCATTGAACTTTCAGAAGGGGAAAACAAACCTAAGGATACTAGAGGTGTGGGGAGGCAGGGTGAGGGTTTGAGGAGGGATAGGTTGGGGAAATGGTATAAAGAAGAAAACATGATTGTAATAAAGAATATAGTTATAGTAAATAGTAATAAAAAAATTTTTTTTAAAAAACCTTGAAAACAGCTTCCACTGACTTTATGGTAGTTCAAGCCACTGCTGTCTCTTATCTGAATTACTGACATTTTCAACATTTCATAAGTTTTAGACAGCCCAAATCCACAGAGCAGCCAGGGATATCTTTTTAATACATCTATTAGATTGTCTGTTTAAAGACTGTCAATAGTATCAGATTGCACTTAAATGAATTCTAAACTCTTCAAATGTTCTACAAGGTCGTCGACAGCCCAAATCCACAGAGCAGCCAGGGATATCTTTTTAATACATCTATTAGATTGTCTGTTTAAAGACTATCAATAGTATCAGATTGCACTTAAATGAATTCTAAACTCTTCAAATGTTCTACAAGGTCGTCATTGTCTTTCTGTCCATCCTTCTTGCTTCAGCTGTCTTACCAGGTGTACCTAATAGGCCTTTGAGACATTTAGTTCTCTTCTGTTTGGTTCTGTTATAATAATCTTGTTTCATTTTGCTTCCCTGACCAAATTTCTGTATTGGAAATCTGCCTACTTACGTTAAAGGCTATGGCCCAGTTTATAGTCCTCCCAGTAGGAAATCGGCTGGTATTTGAACACATTTCTCTGATTCCAGCTGTCTGGCTACCTGAGCATCAATATACCTTCTGTTTTGGACTCTGCGTATTAAGGTTTGTATAAAAGAAAGGTATAAGGGCCCCATAAGGACACCTTCCTTTCCTGTATCATACTCATTTACAGTAACTGTCCTCCCACATCACTAAACATTGACTGCTCCTATATACTTCTGATATTGCATTCTACCAGTAAAAAGAAAACAAAACTTCCTCTCGTATCTGAAGTTAATTCTTCCTTAAAGCCAAAAACATTTTCAGACTGTGTTATTGTGGTTTGTTCATTGCAAGGTCTAATTACAGCCAAAAACATGCTGTAATTGACATACAACATCCTAATTTTGTATAGCGTCATCCCAAATACATGCAGTTCCATGAATCATTTTGCCATCCCCCCCGACACAAAATTCTAGATTACCCACCTGCAATTCCAGATGGGGCACTATGCATCAGCGAATATCTTTCTGGGTTTAGATATAATGGCCTCGGCAATGGCAGGCTTGTGTCCTCTGAACATACTTCTGGTTTCCGATAACAGAGGTTGGTAAAGACTTTCAGACCCATATTCTTCAAAGAAACAAACAACAAATAAAGTTGTGCTTTTCTTTCATGCAAGAACTAAAAGAGGCCTATTACTTACATTGTAGTGATAAACAGATCATAAATATCTATATTTTCTGTGCTGGCAAGGGTCTGGGATCTTAGAAGCCAAGTCACTTCTTTTTAACTTATGGAAAAATCCCTTATTTAGAAGAAAAATAATAATCATTATGATTTATCTAGCAATTACTACATGCTAGCATTTTTAAAAGTATTTTATATCATTTTACATTTAATTGTAAGGGAAAAATAGGGAAATGAGATCAGCACTATCATTACTTTAGTGTCAAACGCACACACATACACTCTCATATACAATGCACCCTGTGGATTAAAGATCTGGAACGTGAACTAAAGTCTGTCTGATTCAATGCCCCTTTTCTTATATACCTGTGGTTAATTACAAAGATCTTTCCATGGAAGCCTCAGCATATCTAATCGATGGCCCAGGTACGTATGAAGCCCAGACTATATTTTAGCCTCTTGATTTGGCCCTTTCTTCATAAGATTTATTACAATAAATTGGAGACTGTCTCATTACTTCTAATATGAGGTTTTATAATTTCAGCCACATTATCTTCAACGGAAAGGAGAAAAACAACAAAAAGATCTCCTTTTTATAAGACAATTTCTGTTTACTCGATTAGCAGAGTACAGATACCAATCTCAAAGTGTAGAAAGAAAACTACACAATTTATAAAGCATAGATGTGCATTATGAATACTAAAATTAAAATTGAGGTAAAACACTTTACAAAATCTTTAGTGATCTTACCCTGACAATGTCATAGGTGTCTCCATCCCTATAGTTGCTTACAGGTTTATAATACAAGCCATTGTAAAACATATCCCTCTGGGGAATGCAAGGGTCTTCCTTGCCATCATCAAGGTTGAGACCATGGTAGAAATAACTATATAGTTCTCTATTTGGAAGCAGGTCATACACCTGTGAGAAAAAGCACATGGTTCCCAGTGACTTTAAGTATTTCTTTTACAATCATAAGATTGACAAACTTTGCACCACAATCATTTATTCTTATCCTTCTATTTAAGCACATGGCCATGATGTTTAATCCAACATTTTTTGAGTAAACTCATCTTTTCAAAAACCAATTTCGTTTAGGCAGTCAATGTCGCGTTCACAATATTTCTCGGCTTTGGCGTGGGGCACTGATAGTATGTTCCAGATAATATGAACAATAATATAAACATATAATATGAATTGGAATGTACTCATTTATGTAGCAACACTTGATTTATACTGTTAAGATGGCCATTGATAATAAACAGGACAACCACTTTTGGCTCTGATGTACAATTGTGAGACCCCTGAAAATGCCTTTGGAATTTTTTCTTTTTTTTTTTTTTTCCTTTTTTTTTTTTTTCATGACCGGCAACGGATCGCAACCCTCAGTGTCGCCCCCGTACCGGACCGGGACCGGCAACGGGATCGCAAACCTCGGTGCTGCGCCCGCACCTTGCTCAGCCAGTGAGCGGCCGGTCTGTATGTGGGATCCAAACCCTCGTCGGGAGCGCCGCTGCACTCAGCAGTGCGCCACCGGGCCGGCCCTGGAATTTTTTCTGTTTGAGTTCCCATGATGGATTTTCCTTGAGGCAGTTTTCCTAAGATCTTCCTACCTCTAGCTGTAGAAAGGATGAACAGAAGCTATTTACTCTGGATCTGTAAAACTCTTAGAAAAGAACGTATTTATACACACTCCTCATTTATAGATAAATGTGTCCTCTATTTTTGACGCTTCTCCAGATTCTGAAATTGGAAGCTTCTCAGCTCCCTGTAACAGGGAACTTAAATACCTTTTTTTTTTGCATTGGGACAAATATATATTTTATATTATGATTTATGTTATTAAATAGTAAGTTATTAATGAATTTTATGACTTTATATTTAAAACTAGACTTACTGTAGAGTGTTGAAAGCAGAATACAAAACTGTATTTTCAGTGAGATCTCAAGTTTGTAAAATATATATGCCTTCAGAAAAGAGATTTTAAAAATGACAACATAAATGTAAAGATATCTAAACGTTAAAATTATGAATAATTTTAGAGATTTTCTTCTTTATGCCATTGTGTATCTTGCACATTTTCTATAATACATGGGTATAATTTTAATAATCAAAAAAGTTAAATTATCAAACTAGATTTAAATATGGTCATAAATTTCAATATTTATTTATATGTATGTTAAAAATAGAAAGAAAATATTCAACAATTTTTAACTAAAATTATTTTGATGCAAACTTCTGTAATTGCTGGTCTGCAAATGTTTAAGAAAAATATAAGGTCTATTAATGGATAACTTTAGACTGTATCCAAGCATATCCTCTAACACAGAGATTTTTTTTTTCCTTTTTTTTTGTCTTTTTCACAGAGATTTCTTTTAACCCTAGGCTTTGATATCTATTACTACACCTAGTATTTTAAAAATAATCATGTTGTATAATTCTTAACATGTTAGAATTCTGTATTGTTATGAGCACTGGGCCAGCCAAGAAAAATAAAGTTTATATGTATGGACAAAAGAAGAACATATTTGATGTTTTCGACATGTTCCATCTCAAATAAAAGCATCATCTGAATGATAAGACTTGTAGGAGTCCAAATAAAAATGAGGAAAATGAGGAAATCAGAGAGCTTACACTGTTAGCTGACAGCTGTTGCTCCGTTTTCAGTAGAAGGACACTTTTATCCACAGCTCGGAGGGCACACACTGAGTCAGGGGCTGCTTGAAGACAAAGACTAGCACTGGAGCCCGGTAGCCCTTGCTCCTTTGAGAACTTAATGCTAACCTGCAGTAGAGAAAGAAAAAGAATGAGAGTAGAGATAATTTTATATGAGGATAATTTGAATAAATGCAATCTTTTCCAAATAAATCCTTACAGATTTCTGCAGCTATATTTGTCCTGCGCACCCTCACCCTCAACTCTCCTTGCAGGGACATCTCCTTTACCATCCTCCTGTCATCTCAGTTTTAGCAGAGCTGCCAAAGATTATTCATTCTGTTTGGTGATTCTCTGATCCCCTCTAGCTTAATTATGCCAACATTTATTTTGAGATTACCATGTAATGGTTATAGTTCTCAGATAAGAAGAAGACAATAGGGGCAAACTGCTCACCCCTCTCCTTCTGGACAGGCCAGAAATAGAAGAAACATTACCTTGTTCTTAAAGCACTTGTCAACCTGGAATCTGACACTGTCAGCCACAATTTCCCCACTGGGGTGAAGAGTGTAGACCAGGGGCAAACTGCTCACCCCTCTCCTTCTGGACAGGCCAGAAATAGAAGAAACATTACCTTGTTCTTAAAGCATTTGTCAACCTGGAATCTGACACTGTCAGCCACAATTTCCCCACTGGGGTGAAGAGTGTAGACAAACATGACAGCCACAGGAGCCAGGTCAGCACTGATGTTGATAGGGAAAGAGAAGTTTCCACTCCAGGCTGTGCAAATAGGAGATGTCACCAACAGGTACAATACAGACAAGCGTTTCCTGCATCATTGGGTAGGCTTAGATGAAAGACAGTGGCTTATGCATAGAAAAAGTAAATTGGGCTGTGCTTTAAAGGCAAATTAATTAAATAACGGAAACTACATATATAAATAAAGAAGGCTGCATAGTTTAGGTAATAGCAACTGGGGTTTTGGACATCAGTTTTCTGTAATGTACTTGATGACCTGGCAATAATAGAAATAGGTCAAAATCTTCACCAAAATATTTAGTAACTCACCGTCGGCTATGCTGACTAACCATTGCCCTCTATCCACAAATTGAACTGCATACTCTTCCTAACTTCTTAACTCCATCACTATAATATTTACTTAAAAAGAAAAAAAAAGGTAGAGTACATATTTAAAAATGAATGTATTATATACACCTTTGTCTCTGATTTCCTTTTGTCCACTGAGGAAGATAGTTCCTTTTACCATCACCTGTGCAGAACAAAGAAAACACAATATGTAATATATTATCTAATATCATATCACGTTATCATATTGTCATTAAATAAATTATCTACTGATAATTCTGCTCCATAACGTAAAGTAGTTTCCACAAACAAAAATTCAAAACAGACTTTGCACAAGTTGGAAAAGAACAGAGGCCGTGACTACAATTGGCTGAGGGCTTGTTATGAACCAGAATTTGTGAACAATGTGCACTGCACTGTGCTAGGCGGTGCCTAAAGCTCTGAAACTGGCCAGCGTGTGTGGCTTCGACTATGCTTTCAACTACTCAGTAACCCTGTGACTTAAGCTGATTCATCTTTTTGCCTCTGTTCCATTATCTGTAAAGATGGGATCTCCATAAGGCCGATTAAATGAGTTACACTTACAAAGCCCTTATAAACAGTGCCCGACACATATTATGTACCCTAGGAGGTGTGTCTTATTATTTCCAATCATAACATGCAGCTGAGGAAGCCAAGAGAGTTTAAACAATCTGTCCACGATCGGCTATCTTGCATGATAAACACCAGGAGGTGGGGCGTTCAAACAGGAACGTCTTAATTTGCAAGTCTGTTTCTTTTCTCTCTTTAATATTCCTCAAAGGGACAAAATGGACAGAACCAAAAGGGCTGGTTGCTTTACTGCTCATCAAAATGAGCCTTCCACCTTGTTTTCTGATATCTGCCTAGTTTTTTACTATCCCAAAAGGTCATAAATACTTGATATGAGTTACAATTGAATGCTTAAAAAAGCAGACTCCGAATAACAGTTTTCAATCTCAGGAAAACTTCAATGGCCTTAGATCATTTTATATGTTTGCTTGTTTATTTTGTTGTTTGTTTGTTTAATGGATCCAATGTATTCACCAAAAAAGTGAGAAGGCTGAGTTCACTCAGATTAACATGGCATGTCTGATGTACACTTTCTAAACTGTGTTGTGCTAAGCAGACACACAATTAGTATTCCAAGAATCCACTAACTCGAGACTTACCAAATAGAAGAAGTTTACAGTAGAGTCGTCCTTATATGCTTTACTGTTTAGGGAGTAATGCACAGTAACAATCTTCTGTTGATTGCACCTAAGCTGCTTTGGTTCAGGAACAATCTTCAAGAAGCTGTTGGTTCGGGAGTAAAAGCGTGAGACTGAGAAATGAGCGTCCGTGTACTCAGGCGTGAACCAGCCGGGAAGATAGCAGCTCTCAGGTCGAATGTATGTGGCCTGATATGATAAAAGTAAGTGAGGGATCTTAGAGCTATGAAGACCTCCAAAGATGGTAGTGAGTAGAGAACAGAAGGCTTTTTATCTCTTCAAAGCAGGGAAGAATCTTAGCTTGTGGCTGATATTTCAACACTTTAGGTATTGGAAATGAAATAGTAATAGCACTCTCCTCTTTTTGTATACAAAAATGACTATAATTATATGAATATTTCATCAGAATGACAGTGAATTGTTATGTTTTTTACTTTCTAATTCAAGTCAGAGAATTGGATTTAAGCCCGTTTCTTTCAGCTACATTTGAACACTGATAAATTGCTTAACTGCAAAATTCTGTTAAAGCAGCAGGAAAAAGAGAAACCACAGCATCTTTCCTATCTACGCATGAAATGATCTAAGGAAAAAAGCCAGATCATCTTCAGGAACTATTAGTTTCTCAATGGAAAACACTGGTTGTTAGATAATTTAGAAAAATTGTAATAGACTATTAGTTTCTCATCCTCTTGAACAAGTATTCTCATATATGACTTAACGACCAGACAAATCATATAAAATACGCTAAATTTTAAAACGTCATTAAAATATATTCTCAATACAAGTTATCTTTTAAGCGATTCCTAATCTTCAAAATTCCTAACATTCAAATCCTCTGTGGGATATCTAATGACATATCTGCTCTCTGATGTCTTACTTTCAGGTTGAACTCCGCATCGAATATGTCTGAAGTGTCAATGGAAAACTGAGCTTCGCCATTCTCATCTGTAGTGTAGTTTCCTATAAAATTGTCATTGAGCTCCAACTGCAGCACCTTGCTCACCATAGGTACATCATTGGGACCAGAAAATTTAAGCTGTACAAAAAAAGTATTAATTTTCTTAAATTACAAAATTTTCACATTTTTACAGAGAAAGAATTTTCTATTCATAAATGTGATCACTTGTAATTTTCTTAAATTCCAATAGACAGAAAGATGCTCTATTAAATATATATATATATATATATATATATATATATATATAAAATATGTAAATAGCTGTAATTGTATCTATTGCTTTCTTTAAGCCTAGGACCTTTTCTGGTATATCAGACATAACAATGCTAAACACTGTATTATGAAAGTCGGAATAAGTGTCCAGAAATTTTCAAAGGGCAATCTATAATCTAAAAACATGAAATGGGAACAGGTACTGTTTTAGTCAAACTTACAGTTCCAAAATAAGAAATCCCTCTTTTATAGAAAGGGTCCATGTTCTCAAAGTTCACATTCCCAAGCAGTTGAGTGATAGAACTAGAGGTCGTTTCACTGATCTGCACACCTGTAAGAAATGATGAAACACAAGTGTCAGGGAAGATTTAGTCATTTGATCAAAAATTTCAAAAGAACAAATAGCTTAGGGTTCACATTAGAACTTTCTATACATAGAAGTATATTCTTGTTCTAAATTGAAAGAGAGGTGAGGATGCTTTGAAGTATGCTCCAGAACACTCTACATCTATCTGGTTATGGTATACTTCAGCATGATTCAGTATGAAAATATTTGAAACAGAAGTAGGAGAAAAATGTCCTAAGTTCCTTCCCCCTACCCATCTATTCGGTTCTGTCTTGTGACTCTCTTTTTCATGAAGAATGTTATTGACATCTCAATTATGAAGCTTTTACTTTCTAAAATCTTTCTTGAGCTGACAAGATAATTATGTAGTTAGACTTTTACCAGATTCGAAACACATCTAATAGGAAGTAAATAAGCAGAATCAAACATTTCTAGCTAAATTACTATTAACAATATAAATGTGACAAATGTGATAGCTATCTAGGCTATGGGCCACATGGTCTTTGTCACAACTACTCAACTTTGTTATTGTAGCACTTAAGCAAGGTAAACAAATGAATGTGATTGTGTTCCAATAAAACTTCATTATATAGACAGGGATCTGGATTTGACCCTCTGGATGTAGATCATGAGCTCTTGTATTAAATCAGAGATTAAACTCTGGCAAGTGCTTATCAACTGCTTCACACAAAGCTAAAAATAAATAGCTATCTCTGATGCAGGCACAGAAGCAAATATAATTATGTATTATTTGCATAAAATTTTTATTATAAATATTATTAAGGATTAAAAAAAAGCAACCCTCAAGTTGACCTATGGGCAAACGTACTGCATTTTACTACCCTGAATAATAATTGATTTGTGTTTTGTGTATGTTGTGAACTCAGTATGCTTCTTCCCAGTAAGCTGCCATAAGTCTTCATGGTGTCTACAAAATACAATCATTACCTGTCCCAAATTCTGTAACAATTACAGTGATATCAAATGTCATGAAAAGTCCAGAACGGTAAAGTTGGAAGACTTTTGTATTTACAATTTGAGAAACACATCCACTTTTCAACTGCAAAATAAAGAGGAGTTAAAATGAAAAAGTTAGGAATCCAAGAGACTTTTAGAAAATCTGGAGTTTTAGCAAAGATCTGTAATCTCTCTTCTGTCCCCTTCCCCCACCATGGCTCTACCGCATAAACTTGTTGAAATGACCAAAGAATTAAAGGATGAGGAGGAGGAGGGGAAATTTATATACGCATTTCAAGCAAGGTAAGGAAGTAATCTCTATTTCACAGATTTCAAGGAAATTCTCCTGCAAACGATGTAGATAAGAAAAAAAATTAGGGATTATAATGGAGTTGAATGATATTGGAAGAGTAAGAAATTAAAATAATCTTGAAAGGCACCAAGAGCAGATGGGACAGAAGCACTTTTCAATTGCGTAACACTAAAACAAGCACTTTTTAAAATAACTCGTTCATTTAAAATAAAGAAAAATCTGTAGCTAACCTTTCATCAGTAATATCAATAAATAGAGAAATATAGATTACTTATATTTTATAATAAAAAAAATTGTTATGCCAAATTTAAAATGTTAGAAGGATTATATCAATTCATTTGATTCTCAAAACTATCATATAAGCTGGGCACTGTTATTATATCTGTTATATGGTGAATAAACCAAAGCACAGGTAGGTTATATAATCTGCCCAAGGCATTCTGGTTTCAGAGTATGTGATCTTCTAAACTATCAATTATTACATCAACAACAGCAAAAAAAAAAAAAAAGGCAATTTTACTTCATCTAATTATAATACAGTCAAATTAAACAATAAAATGTTACCAGAAGAACCTTAATTACTTTGAAATTAAGACAAAAACATTTTTCAGTAATTGTTGAATCAAAGAGAAAATATAAGGTAAATCAATGAGAACATAGAGATTAGGGTAAAGGAAAAAATGTTTTGCATCAAACTCTATAGTGTTAAGCTGCGGTTAAAGAAAAATGTAAAACATTAGAGATGTTTATTCCAAAAAAAAGCAGCTAATATATTAAGAAACAAAAAAATTAAGAAAAACTAGGAAAGGAATTAATAAGATGAAAGCTAAAGTAAATTATATAGAAACACAAAAATAATATAAGAAGGAAAATAATAAAAATAAGAACCAATAACAGATGTTTATTCCAAAAAAAAGCAGCTAATATATTAAGAAACAAAAAAATTAAGAAAAACTAGGAAAGGAATTAATAAGATGAAAGCTAAAATAAATTATATAGAAACACAAAAATAATATAAGAAGGAAAATAATAAAAATAAGAACCAATAAAATAGATGAATCTTTTATAAGCATGATTTAGAATAATGGAGAGCAAAATTGTATAAGCTAGGTGCTGATACAACCCAATATCCACATGGAAGAAAACAAAATTTCCTTATTTTAGAACATAATAAAAATTAATTTTTTGTCCATTAGACAAATTTAAACAATCTTAAAGCATATTTAGCTACATGCACAATACAGGGGCAAGTGAGACTTTCTAAGGCTGAAAACTCATAAATGTTAAAAATCTTGGTATGTCAAAATACCATAATGAAGTCAATGATTTGACTTTTAAATAACAGACTTGAGAAAAAATTTGCTTAGAGAATGGATGGCAATTTTTGTGATAAAAGAAGGTTTCAATTTCAAAAGAACAAAAAAAACAGAGGTAAGAGTTCTCAAAATTACAGATCCAAATTAATAACAAAAACATAAAGAAATGTTCAAACTAACCAATAATCAGATAATGCAAGTAAAAACAAAAATAAATTTTTATCTATTAAAGTGGTAAAAGTCTTAAATATATTTCTGGAATTTGGGGAATACAGTATTTTCATATATTGCTCAGGGTAATTTGAATGCTTAAAAATGTTTTAGACAGCACTATGCTAATAATTCTTAAAATTGAAATCATCTATTTTTCTACCTGTTTATCTAGACACATTTATCTATATCTCTTTTGACTCAGAAGCCTACTCCAAAAAATCTATTTCAAAAAAATAAAACCTCTCATATATAGTTATATCAAGTTGTTTATTGCTGTATTTTTCACACAGGAAAAAAAATTAGTTGATGAATACCTATCACTGGGTAAAAGGATTAATTCATTGCATTATAACCACATAATTGAATAGTGTGTTGTGAAGTGAGAGAATTCCACTCAGTGTCTCTTAGCCCACATTTCAAGTATAAGGATCGGTTTCTGACTGTCTTTACCAATTATTGATATTTACCTAAAGGATGTTCACCAAATTTGGTGAGTAACTTCAGGACAATCAGATTTAAAAGTTAAATTATGTCTCAAGGAGATGGGCCGAATTGTTCACTTAAGGTTAAGATGCTGCAAATACAGGAAGCAAATGGTGGCTTCAAATATGAACTGCAAATCTAAAGTAAAAAGAGTAGATGCTCTGAATTGCAGATGTTTGCAAAAATAAGCTGTGCTCGTAAGGACATTCTAGGTTGCATGGTGAGGAATATCACAGATTCATTTATTTAAAGGAGCATTAATGATTCTCCAGAGAAAGATCAGGGAGGCCACCTAGACAGTATATAAAACAAGGAAGCCAATAAGCTCTTTCAAACTCTAGAAATCTTGTGAATCTATAGGTGGATGACGATTTACATGGCCTAGAGGATGAGAGACTTTTGTTAAACGCTGCATTTTCTCATTACTCTTCGACTTATTTAGCTGCAACCTCCATTATACTCAAAATGAAAATAGTGTGGAGTCCCTTTTACAAATGGAATCAAAGAAAGAATAATAATGAAAAGTGAATGAGAACTTTTTTTTTTGAATAAAGATCATGGTCTGTACCTGTGCAATGAACTGCTCACATATTTCATTGTTTCTCTCACAATTCCTAGAAGAAAAAAATTCTCTGCACACCCGGATTTGGGCTTTCCCTTGCACTGGTTGGCCATAGGTGTACCTATTGGGAGAATGTGTACTTATGATTACAGAAGAACTATAACATAGCAATATTTTATGGTCTTCCTCGGTAATTAGGTGTGAAATCTCTCAACTATTAGTACCCCAATCTAACCAAATTAGACATCCTCACCCAGTGCTGTCTACCCTGCAGAATTTAGGTTAAATTGGGCATTTGTTCTGTTAGCAGGATTTGGCTGCTTTTTAAAAAATCAAACTCAAGGTAATGTACAATTTAAAATGATCTAAAATCTCAGTGAATAAAATTTAATGATTACATTGAGTTTCTAAAACTGTATTTTAATCATATAGAAATATAAAAATTGGTTGCAATACTTTCTTTCCTTAGCAGAAAATATTTATGTATGTAAATAACATTTGAATGATTCAGGGTCTTGAAGTTTTTCCAGATCAATATTTTAAACAACAATTCTTATTTTACCACTCAATAAATATAGAAGGTATGGGAATTGACATAAAATGGTTATGCTGTGACCAAAAGTATAATGCCTTAAGGGATGGGGTTGAATAAGTAAGTAGTTTGTTTTTTCCTAAAATATAAAACACTATAACACAAGTTTTTTCAAAGCTTCAATCAAAGGCAAATCCAGTTGATCTAAGTTTTTTTGTTACTTGAGGATTATTTCCACTTAGATTTAGAAAAACAGACAACAAATGTAAAACTAGTACATTGTAAAACTGAATACCATTAAATTTACAGATTATAATTTTTTCCTATTGTTGGAGACTGAGATATATCAAGTGTTTACATATATTATCTCATTTATTTTTCCCAGTGACCCTCATTGTAAAATAAGATCGAGTAACTCACTTCTTCACATTGTAATTGATGGAACTAAAATTCAAACTCAGATCTACTTTTCTCCACAGTCTATGCTCTTTCCATCCTACTAATCTGTTTCTCTTTCTATTTAAAAATTCATTAAAAATTTATATTATTCAAAATATTTAACATTTGCGCGTTGTTTTAATGCATGCACACACTGCACAATGGTTCACTTAGGGTAGATAGCATAGTCCGTCCATTATTCCACGAATTTTCCTCCTCCCCTCCCCAATTACGTGTAAAATAGAGACCAGACTAAAGATCATGCCGCAAATGTTTTCCTGAGCATTTCTTATTATTCCTTCTTACTGTCTTTAATTTACAAAATAAAACTCTTATAGTATTATCTACAGATTAAGACATGCCTGTAAAACATGCAGCTTAAATCTTCATACAGGATATAGTAAACATTTGTGATTTGAAAAGCTCTTGCTGGATGCTTAATCAGTTTATTAAAATCTCTGCTTATAGGTAAATTTTCTTTCCTCTTAAAAGTCTAAGTTATCTCTGACATTATTTGCTAAAATAGTCTTATTTGCTCTTGTTTTCTACAACGGTTCCAAGCTACGTCTTAGGGAATACTAAAAAAACAATGCACAGACACAGTATTATTCAATTTGAGGCAGGCAATTCATCCATTGAAGTTAACTTCTAGACATACTGATTTCATTTACCCTGTTCTCATATCCTGCATAGAGATTAACTTTTTAGCAAGCATTAATTACCTCCTGTCTCACTGGCTGGCCATGTAACAGGATATTATTATTGCTGCTACCGACTTACTACTTAATGCCACATCTACCTAGAATATAATTTTAAAGAAGTTTCAAGAAGTCAGAAAAATGGATAATATATAACCTGACATAATGTTAATGAACAACCAATTCCATGTTAGCATTTGGTTTAGCAAGTCTTTTTTAAAGGTCATACTTGAGAAACATTTTGGCTCTCTTGACTTTTGTGTTGCCCTTTTTTAGCATACGATTGGGTAGATAAATAAATTAGAAATGTTAACGCCAGTGAAAGTTCTGGCTTCATGTAGGGTTTTTCTAGTGAAGCCAGTTTAGATTTCTGGATTTCCTCAAGCTTGTATCGATTATCCCATCATTTTTAACATAGATAATCTACAATCTCCCGTATATAACATATATTAAATTCTGGCCCACATTCAACTATTCTTCCTTGAAACTCAGAAAAAAATTTATGATCATTTTCCTAGAACCCAAAGAAGATTTTAAATACTACCAAAAAGAAAAAAAAAAAAGGTTTCTAAGATTTTTGGGGACATCTTCAAGACCTACCCTCATATGATCATTAGCCCTTTCCACAACATATCTTTAATATACTGCTGAAAATATTCAAAGGCAAGTAATATTCATGTCATCAATTAAATAAAAGGTGTTTAACAAATAGAGCAAATATTATTATTTTTAACTATTTATATAAAGTATAACAGAATTATTGATTAAGAGAGTAGTTCTGAAGCCAAACAGCCCAGCTCAAAATACTACGTGTGTCATCAAACGTTCCACCAATGCTAATAAGTTATTTCAATTCTCTGTGCCTTTTTATCCTTCTTTATAAAATAGAAAATAATAGTTCTTATCTCATAACATTGTGGTGAGGATATAACATATTTAGTGCTTAACACAGTAAATGGCACTCAATAATTATTAGGTTATTATTATCATTATTAGAAATTTGAGAAAAGGCATCACACTAAAAGAAGTCTAAAAAGCATTAGAAATAATTTCCTAAAAGAAAATAAAAATTTCTCAAAACAAATAGGAATGTTTTTGACATTAGGAAGATTGTAACTAAGTTAAATTAAATTGATAAGATGCCTTACTTCCACTATGGTATTTTCAATAGCTTATTTTCTTTTTTTAGTGGAAATATTTAATGATGGTGGAGATTCAATGAGGCACGTACTTTTGTCTTAACTGCTGGAATCTCACATTGGCACAATGTATGTAGTGAGCAATACAGCAATCTAAAGACAAAGAGTGTCACATATTTTGTCTTGGTAATTCCACTTCTGGAAATCTTTCTTAAGTAAACAATTTACAATCCAAAAACTACTTATTATACAGTTAAACACAAAGACATAAACTACAAAACTATTAATTACTAATAATTGGAATAAAATGGAACAGTCTACATGTTTTATAATAAAAGAATAGTTAAGTAAATTTATTTTTGCCACATAAATATATGTTCATGCAGCAACAAATTGCAATTCATCAAAAAAATTGGCATAATGTAGAGACATGTTTTCTTAATTATGGTGTATAGAAAAGTATGATTGGAGTCATAAAAAGTAAATGACTGGAAGAAAGTAAATCACAATGTCAATGGCAATTGGTAGAATTAATTATGGGTAATTTCTTACGTTTTTGTTTTTATTTTTCAAATATTCTACAATGAGAATTTATTACTTCTCTAATATAACTTTAATGTAAACATATAAATAATTAAAGTTACATGGTTAACCTAATTTTTAATTCTCTCTGACCTTTTAGTTTACCTGTGGGGGCAAATCTCCTGAATAAATACTTACTTAGCACATGCATCCACTTGGAATTCGTCATTTTTAATGTAAACATATAAATAATTAAAGTTACATGGTTAACCTAATTTTTAATTCTCTCTGACCTTTTAGTTTACCCGTGGGGGCAAATCTCCTGAATAAATACTTACTTAGCACATGCATCCACTTGGAATTCGTCATCTGCAATAGTTACTGTTCGTGGTGCACTAACCTTAACTTCAAACTTGGGCAGCACTTGAAACAAAGAGAAATATACTTCAGCTCTCACAGTCACTATTGAGCAAAATTCATTATAATCACGTAGCTAACTCTGCTTCCATGCACAGTGCTTTCCTATGTATGCATCTGTACACACCGTGTTTCAAGCGCCCCAAATTCCATGAGGCATCAGTCTACCACAGTAAGTGATGATGTCTCATTAGGGATTAATTCTTCCCCTTCCTTTTCTCTTCCCTATCCTCAGAACATCATTTTTTTTTTTCCTTTTGTAATCTCTCAGATCTTCCCTAGAAAATTGTCTGGATTCTAGAAAATGGAACATTTCCTAGGGAAAAAGGGCAGGTATCAGAATGAGGTTATGGACAAGGAGAGAAGAGGACGAAGGGACTGATGATAAAGCAGAAAAGCCAAGAAAGGAAGACGGCACAAAAGCAAATCAATCTGCACCTACTTTCTCCTAAGTCTAACATAAAGGTGGTTCTGTTCAGTTCTTTAAACTCTTTGTATAGGACAACCAGAAATAGCATTTGGTTACCATATTTATTAACAGTAAACTGGTGTATCAGTGTCTTTTCTGATTTTCTTTTCACAATAATCAAGTAATCTCCAAACATTGGTTCTGAAATCAGTCGAAACAGAGAAACTATGATGAGAGAAAGAAAAAACTGCTCTGAGCATTTCTGGCCATGGCTGCTTTAAGGCTGGAGCTGCTGAGGGCATGGAGCAGGAGCCGGCAGAAGCCACAGCTGTGTTCTTCAGAGGGAGTTACTTGGAGGCAGCAGGGGAGAAGAGGGCCTTGGTGGCCCCCAGGACAGCAAGACCACTAATAGGGTTTTCCTGTGGACCCATGCAGGAGTGAGGAGCCAGAACAGCTGAAAAAGGGAGCCACTCAGAGGCTGGTGACTCATTGCAAGGGATGGCACCAGGCTGGTCCCAGGGGAAGTGTTTGGAGCATGGGCAGTGGGCAAGATGGGAACACCAGGAGAACACTGGGACACAGCAAGAACAGACGACCTGCCCCCCAGTCAGCACAGGAGCACTCAGAGGAGACTGGTCAGGAATACAGAATTGCATGGGGTGCAGTTTGATGAAAAAACTCAGGCCCAGATCAGAGATTCTACAGAACACAGATCCACAAGTACCTATAAGATCAACCATTAAACCCTGAGCTGCACAAAAAGCCTTCCCTAGGGAAATAGCAGCAAAGCAGCAATTTAAACAACCACACTCTCAAGTACTGGTTCCCACAGGAAGTTCCCCCATGCTAGAAGCAAAGGACAAAAAATTAACTCCGTCCCAGGCACACCACCAGCACCTTGGGGCCTACCTGGGAAACAGAGGCTTGGATCCAGGGACCGGACCCCACTCCCACTGCCAGGCAAACTGTGTCAGTGCCTCAGGGCCAGCACAGGGACCCAAGGCACAGAGAAGGGGACTGGACCTTCCTCCCACAACCAGGCACACCATGCCAGCACCTCGGAGCCTTCCCAGTGACCCGAGGTAAGGAGAAGGGGACCGGACCTCTCTCCCACAACCAGACACACTGTGCCAGCACCTCAGGGCCCTCCTGGGGTCCTGAAGCATGGAGAAGGGTACCGGACCTCTTTCCCACAACCAGGCACACCTAGCCAGCACCTTGGGTCTTGCCCATTGACCCGAGGTATGGAGCTGGGGACCAGACCCTCCTCACACAACCAGGCACACCACACTAGTGCCTCAGGGCTCCCCCAGGGACCCAGGGTATGGAGAAGGGGACAGAACCACCCTCCTACAACCAGGCACACCATGCCAGCACCTTGGAGCCCACCCAGGGACCCAGGGAATGGAGAAGGAGACTGGACCTCTCTCCCACAGCCAGGCACACCACGCCAGTGCCTTGAGGCCCGCCTGGGCACCCGGGGCATGGATAGGGGACCGGACTTCTCTCCCACAGCCAGGCACACCACTCCAGCACCTTGCAGCCTGCCCAGGGTCCCGAAGCATGGAGAAGGGGACCAGACCACCTTCCCTCAACCAGACACACTGTGCCAGCACCTCGGGGCCTGCCCAGGGACCTGGGGCATGGAGAAAGGGACTGGGCCCCCCTCTCCCAACCAGGCACACCTAGCCAGCTCCTTGGGTCTCACCTGGTGACCCAAGCATGGAGAAGGGGACTGGACACACCTCCCACAACCTGGCACATGGCACCAGTGACTTGGGGCCTGTCAGGGACCAGAGACATAGAGAAGGGGATCAGACACACCCCACAACCAGGCATAACACCAGCGCCAAGGAGCATACCAGAAACAGCACCTCCATGTAGGTGGCCCACTGCAGCCTCCACAATAACCATGGCTGCCGCAAAAGCTACTAGACATCACAGCCACCAAGCAGATGGTCCGCCAACCACTGGAGTGTATTCACACAAGGAGAGTCACCAGCAGAGCCAAAGAAAAGAAGAGGATGTCTCTCTCCACAAAGCCCATTTCAGAGTGACAGAAGCAGCCTCTGCTCTATTGGGGGACCCGATCACATCTCTCAGCATTGGACAGATCATCTAGGCAACAAATTAACAGAGTAACCATGATTCTTTCAGAAGGAGAGAAGAAATCTAGGGCAATTAGAGGGGGAAGGGGGAGGGAATGGGGGATGGGGAGAGGTTGGACAAGGGGCATAAAGAATAATTACGATTTGTAACAATACATATTCTAGTAATATTGATTTGATCAACATATCTCCATGTTCAACCCCCAAAATATGTATAATCGATTTTGATTCAATACACGTTTTTAAAAAAAGAAATTCTTTCTAAAAGAATCAGAGTCAGCTGGTACTGAAAACAAAACACATTGAGGACAGCAAAAGGGTTAAGTAGAAGCCTGGGTCCTTGTTAATACTGTGCTGATGCTGTTCTAACCCTGAAGTGCATACACTAAGACTTAGTGATTTATGAAAATAATGAATCTTTTACTAGTTTAACAATATTTAAACTTTCTGTTGCTTTCAATGGAGCATAACATAAGCTGAACCAGGATGTGACAATAATACTATTTATAGATTACTAATAATACAGAAAACATGAAAATGGCTGATACTCATATAACAAACTCAAAAACATTCAAATTACAAATGACACTATTTGAAATATGTACTTACATGCATGATCATTTCTGATGAACCTAGTTCTCAGTATATTATACTTCAGGATTGGGTAATAATAATGGCACATACTCATACTGCATGTAGAGATTAAAATACGTGCATTGGAGTAGATTAACACAGTTTATTAATTGATAGACATAAGAGTTCAAATAAGTTTGAAGTCCACACTACTCTTGAACTGGTAATAATGGCACATACTCATACTGCATGTAGAGATTAAAATACGTGCATTGGAGTAGATTAACACAATTTATTAATTGATAGACATAAGAGTTCAAATAAGTTTGAAGTCCACACTACTCTTGAACTGGAAGAAGGAGATTCCATTGACTATTTTCTGAAAACAAGAGTCCATTTTATAATAATATCACCTTCTAGCATATTTCTAAATTGTTAGGTATTTGTGTTTTCTATCTCCTTAAAACAAGATGTGGTTAAATTAAGACTGAGAAGGGCCATCAGTCAAAATTAAGCAATTTAAGACATAACCTCCCTTAGAAAGAGCCCAGTTTTTTACTTTCCATAGAACTCAGTTACTGTGTTTGCCACGCTGCCAACACTAAAAGCAACAGCCTATTCTGTACTTCTTCATCCGAGGCCTTGCATTGTGGATGCACATAAAAACTTCTCTTCACCTTATTTCAGTCATCTTAAATTTATAATTATGCATAATGACAACTAGACATTTATGTGACTATTTAAAAGAATTAATGTGAAAAGCAGATCTCTTACCTGAACTGTGATTAACGGATACTGAAAGAGGAAAAAACCACAGATTAATACTGTAATAGTACATTCTTTTTGCCAGATATTGCATTGTAAAGATTATATGTCTTAATTTAAGTGTTGAAAGATAGTCTTCATTTACTCACAGAACAAGTTTCTATAGCTATGGATGCCAAGAAAACCCTAATGTGAAAGAGATCACAAATTTTTTTCTAGGAAGTGAAAAACAAGTTCCATGCAACCCATGTTTTTCTTACATGATAAAAGACCAAAAGAATTATAAGTCAACTCACAATAATTTATCCTTTATGTCTAAATGTGAGGTTAACTTTAAAGCTATGCCCATTTCATACTCCATGTTGCAATCTTAGTTCCATATATATGAGAGGCTTCCTCAAGATGCTTTGTATAGCAATGGATTTATTTAATTTGTTTAAATTTCATTGTACCATTAGAAATTATTGAACTTACCGACTCCTCAACAGGTTTGAATTTGGTATCCAGCGTCACAATGCGAAATTGAACTAAAAGAAAGGAGGAGATGATATTATTTTTTTGTTATTTTTCCTCCAGATATGCTTGTACATAGACATAGAAATTAACTGCTCTGCTGTCATATAATACTATGCCCCCTTCTCACCTGACTTGGATTTAACCCTTTGAGATTTGGGTTTTATCAGGAAAGATCTTTTATTGCACATTTGCCTCTGTTAACAATGTTCCACTGTTTGCCAAGGCTGACACTGTCTGCTGCCACCACTAGAAACTTTTACCCTAACAGTGCATGGGAATATCTTATGAATTGGTGGCAGAATTAGTCACAGAAGGACAAATGTGAAATACATATGGTAGGAGATAAACATAGTTTTCCTGAAAAACAAATATTGATCCTAGCAAACATTAGATTTTGCAGAATTCCAGAAAAACCTTTTTAGCTACTTTTGTATGCATAACTGTCATCATAGCATTTTAATAAGTCCAGATGAGAGGGTATAATTTAGCAGAAACCTTACTACAAGAATTCTATTTTTAGTTCTTTTCTTTCTTTTCAATAAATCATAGAAATATGTAATATTAATCAGAACAAAATTTGTGGATGCCTTCATCCAACCCTTTCATTTTACAAATAAGAAAACTAATTCCCAAAGATCAGAATTTACTTGGCAAAAGCCAATAATTTATTAGCAGAGCCAAGACCAAACCTTTCTGTATCCTAGTTTGGTGTCCTGTCTTGTATCTTTTACATACAACAATAATAAAGAAAATAGAAGAGCTTTGCCTGGTTATCAGATTTGATTTTACTTCTACCAGTATGAATGATAATTATGATAATGATAAATATTTCTGGGGTCTTTACTGCATGGTAGGCACAATTTTACATTGGCTATCTTATTTTATTTTCACCTTATTTCTGTAATTGAGACACTTATTATCTCCATTTTACAGATGGAATAATTGAGCCTAAAAAAGAGAGTTAAGTAGCTTGCCCAATTGGTAAATTATGAAGCAACTATTCAAACCAAGCTTTTGTATGCCATATCCCGTGTTTGTCACCATTCTATTATGCAGACCTGGCACTAGAATTTGTAAACGGTGAAAGTGGAATGCAAAATTTTATGATGCAAAGCATTCAGTTACTGGAGTTGGAAGATGCTATTTCGTAATTGACCTAGACAAACAATAAGAATTCTAGATATTCACAATCCCATTACATTAAGGATACATTTAAGACTAAAATTCTTGTGTTTGGATTGTTCTCAATTTGGAGAATGCATTTCTAGGGTCGAGGAAACAAAGGAAACACAAATATTGACTTACCATTCTCTTCGGGTTTATAGATGGGCTTATCTGTCTGCAGAAAAGTCACTGTCTCCTCTGGAATGACTGCTACAGATCTCCTCTCAGAGATCCTGAGAGTATCTCCCGTCGCCAACAAGGTCACAAAAGCCAACTGTTCAGAGGACCTCTGAGAGACGGGTTTATAGATGGGCTTATCTGTCTGCAGAAAAGTCACTGTCTCCTCTGGAATGACTGCTACAGATCTCCTCTCAGAGATCCTAAGAGTATCTCCCGTCGCCAACAAGGTCACAAAAGCCAACTGTTCAGAGGACCTCTGAGAGACCTGTTTATGTGGAAGAGCATAGAATGGGAAAATTATTTTTAGATGTTAAGATGTTGAACAATGTCTTAATTTGGCTTCTCAGGCTAACAGAGACTTGGAAGCCCATTATTTCACAATGAGAGACCTAGTGATCACTTGCTCCAATTCCTTTATCTAGCATGAGGACAGTTCCTAATAAGCTTCTTTTTAGGTCTCTTGAACTGTATTTGTTGTTATTGTCTCAGTCCCAACCCTTCTTACCTTTACCTAGATTCTCTTTCTTCATACTGTGGAACAATTTTACTATTTAACGAGCAGTAATTATCTCACAGTCACTCTCTATAATAGAGGAATGGCAATATTTCACAAGTTGTGTTGCATGTGCAAATTATCCTTTTATTTCTTGCCTCTCAGGAATTCTTCAGTTATTCTCCCTGGCTTCCAAAATTCTTCTGAAATCAAGATTTTTTAAGATCTCTCTATAAATAATTTTTAAATGATAATTTCACCTTTCCATCGAAGTTCTGAAATGTCAAATTCAGTGCCTCACCTTGAAATCTGCACAAGCGTAGAAGTTATCCTCTTCCACAGACTGGTCAAAAATAGTGGTATTGGACCCATCATATTCTAAGACAACACTCAAGGATACAGCTTCATTAAGGTTTAAAAGGTGCAGACATACTTTTTCTGTAGAATCACTCTGTATCACAGAGGAGACTAACAGGATGTATTGCCTATGTAGAGAAAGTAACCAACACGCTAAGCAAGTATAGGAGAAATGGAGAACATTCATGGAAAGCAATTTTAGCTTACTGAAATATTCCTGAAACATTCACATTTTCCATAGACAGTATTACAATAAATGTGGGCAGGTAGAGAGAGATATCTTAAGAAAAAGATGTCAGTTACCTTCATACCTGCTTAAAATTTATAGAGTAAACCAGCACTCAGTCTCAGAAGTTGAAATGGTAAAACAAAGTCAAATTTTAACATGAAACATATTTAATAAGGTCACATAGTCGTACTTTAATATAAATAGAGAGTGTAATATTTGCTTACGGTTCTGAAGCCACAATAGTAGTGAAATGAAGCAAAAAAGAGCTCAGCAGAATGGTAGGCACCATTTTATCCCAATGCCCGAAAAGTACAGACTTCAAGATAAGTTTTCTCTCTCTCTCATCAGATGTCAGCTGCTTTGACTCTACTTTTTTTCCTTCCTTCTGCTTTGCCTCTCTCTCTACATGGTATTTTCTCTCTCTCATCAGGTGTCAGCTGCTTTGACTCTACTTTTTTTCCTTCCTTCTGCTTTGCCTCTCTCTCTACATGGTTGCTTTTATAGTCACACACAATGGAAGATCGATTACTTCGGGGGCAAATATCTTGAGACCCATCAATTACATTTAGGTCACTTCTCCTATTCCTTCTCCACAGGGGGTCACTTCATGTACAACTTCCTGCTTCAGTTCCATAGACACTGCTCTGTTTTTGGAATCTGTAGTACAGGTTGAACAGGAAAAAAGAGAAAAACAAAGAAAGTAGTTGTGTGACACTTAGGAGTTCATTAGCTTATTTTAGTACCTCATTCACAGGGCTGACAACAGTCTTAAAAGCTTAATTACATAGGAATTAGCCCTTGGAAGAAAAATACCTCTGCAAAGGTCTGTTATTATACCAATTTCTGAAAGGTAAATTTTCCAGGCTTCTGAGAGAAGTAGCATTACTGGTGTTGCCAAAACATGGACGCAAACAGATATGTCAATACAGGCTCATTTTACAGATAATCAAAACTAGGCAATTCTTTTGTAATTTCATAATACAGAATTCAACATTAAAAATGTTGATCTGTGTTTAATATCTGATATTATTTTTTTAATGAGGTTTTATTTACAATGTTCAATGTCCTTTTCTACCCTAAATATAATAGAGAAAAAAAGAAGAGAAAAATTGATATACACACACACCCCCACATACACACACATGTCACTTCTTGGGGGAAAAAAAAGTACTTTACCATAATTTTGATTGCAAAATATTTCTACAAAGTAAATGAGCCATGCCAAAGGAACTGGCAAACTATTAACAGACTCCTTACTGTGTTTATTCTCCCATGTGTCTAGTCTTCCTTTTTTTAAACATCCTTTTTACTTCAAGTGTCAGAGTTAATGCATTTGGCTTGAAGAAGATTATGTGGGGTAAGGAAAGGCAGGAATGTCTTTAACCTCTTAGAAATAGATCTGCAACAGCAAATGCAAAGGAAAGGCCAACAAAACCAATTCTAATGTAATAGACGAGGAGCTGTAATGGAAGTAGAAAAATACAGGCAATCATGAGGTCTAGGGAATGTGAGAACAGGCTTTCCTTGTGGACCATATTTCATATTCCAGCACAGAGCTGTGTTTATAAAAACCCTGGCTACGTTGTTCTCTCAGGAGAGCTGAGACGTTGCTCCCTTACCCACTGGCATTCAGGACTTTAGTTTTAGGCTGCCTTTCTGCAAACTCTGCATAGGAGGCCGTCTCTCTTCAAATCTCTGCTACAGAAGCTGATCTTCTGCCCTGCCAATTTTAAGGTTTAATTTCTTTCGACTGGAACCTCAAACTATTAGTCTCTGTTTTTTGATCAATATCCTTTCGTTTGTTAGCCTGCTGGACTTACTAGCACCACTCTCACACTCCACTCTCCATGCTCATGAGACAAATTGTCACCAGCTTCCGAAACAACTGAAACTCATTAGCTTTCACTCACCAGCCTTCAAGACAAAGAGCACCACAGGGCAGATGTTTCATAAATCAAAGAAATCAGTTCTTTATCCCCAAGGCTGATAAATCTTAAATAATGAAACTTATCTAAACTATTTTTATTTTTCCAAATGTAAAATTTTTACCTGGAGTAAATGACTATATCGCTCTTAACTTTAATCAAGGCAATTTACCATTAACGAAAGTACATATTGTGCTCTGTTCTTTTAAATCATCTTGGGGACTAGCATGGTTTCATAATTCTCTCTGCAAATATGGAGCACTCTGAAACAATTTTATGTGATTAACATAGTCTTCAGGTTAACGGGCCCTTATTCAGATATGAATCCAACAATATTTAATGAGTACCTGTTATGTATCAGCAACTGTGGTAGGTTCTAGAGATAACAAAATGAATGTCACAATTCTCTAGAGAGTTTTACCTTCTATTCAAGAAGGACAGCAAGAGGAAAAAAGGGAAGGAGGAAGGAAGGAAGGAAGGGAAGCAGGAAGGATGGAAGAGAGGAAAGGAGGTGGCAGGACAGGCGAGGGAGGGAGTGAGGGAGAGCAGGAGTGAAGGGAGGGAGGAAATGCACAAGAGGGCGGGTACTCGCTGAGTCATTAATACGGAGCAGGCAGTGTGGCACGTGCTGGTATTTACCGTGTCTCACTTAATCCTCAGAAAACACAATTTTGAAGTTCTTATTTATTCTCACTTTATAGAGGAAAAAATACCGTATCAGACAAAGTCATCAATTTTCATAGTCACCCAGTCAGTAGTGAGAAAGAATTTTATTTAAAACCATAAATTAAATGAGATCAAAGGATATCTTCAATTGTAAGAATAGAAAAGGACATGGACTAATGTGCTATGTCTTCACATTCTCAGTAGGTTTCTGCTGAGCAAAGGGACATGCAAGAGAAAACAGGTGTCACCTTGTCATCACTCAACAGATTCAATACTATTTAGGTTACTGATGTTCACTGACATTGGAATCCCTCTATTCACTCATTCATTCAGTACATATTTATTGAGTACATATTATCTGCAAGCCTTATGGGAGGTGGGCATGAAGAGGTGAATGTGAATTGTTGGAGTTATTCTATCAGGAAGGACGGATTAAATAACTAATTGTACAATTAATTATTTCATTACAATTATGATAGGTGCTACAGCAGAGAAAGAATAATAGGGTGCCGTGAGAATGTTTGAGCATGGTGAGGAAGACTTAGTATTGCACCAGGTCCTGGTGATACATAGATGAACAAGACCATTTCTTTCACAAGAATACTTCGCTGTTCACTCGGCGTAAACATAAATTGCAGTGCTAAGTGATACAAAGAATAAACTGTGAGCAATGCTGTAAGGAATCACATTTATCTGTAACTAAGAAAGTTAGCAAATAATTTATTAAGGAGGGAACTTTTGAGTTGGAAATATTAATGTGATTAGGAATTTTCCAGGTAGAGTAGAAACTGAAGAAAGTGTTACTGAAGTAACAACTTTTCAAAGAACATCATAGTATTATGTGTATAATCAAACATTGTGTGCTTCAAAAATAACAGTAGGTTTAGTTTTGTTGGAGAAATGAGTGTGATATAAAATAACATTCAATGAGCCTATTGAAAAAGGTTGTGATTGCCTTGTAAAACATCTTTTACTTGTGCTGAGGAGTTTGAATGTTACAGCAAATAGTAATGAGTATAATAATTCTTATATTCCATGGGGAATAGAAAAGAGTGATTTTGATTTGCATTTCCCTGATGATTAACAATGTTGAGCGTTTCTTCATATGCCTGTTGGCCATTTGTATGCCTTCTTTTGAGAAATGTTTATTCAGATTATTTGCTCATTTTAAAATCAAATTAACTGTTTTCTTTTGCTGTTGAGTTGTTTGAGTTCTTTATATATTCTGGTTATTAGTCTCTTATCTGATGAGTATTTGGCAAATATTTTCTCCTATTCTGTAAATTGTCTTTTTGCTCTGTTGATTGTTTCCTTTGCTATGAAGAAGTTTTTTAGTTTGATGTAGTCCCATAGATATTTCAACTACCCTGATTTGGTCCTTACACATTGTATATGTGTATCACATTATCACATGCATCCTATAAATATGTACAATTATTACATACCAATAAAAAAACTAAAAAAAA